TGTCATTTTTTGGTATTACGCCTAAACAAAATCTTCAATTTCAACTTCAATTTTTGTGATATCAATTTCAAATTTGGAACACAACATGGTTAGATATATGACTTTGATTTTAAAGTAATTTTATAGTAAAAAATATTTTGTAAAATATATATTTTATATAAAAGAAAAAATATTAAGTACAGTATATTTGATTTCATGTAAAACTTCCATAACTTTTTCATACTTTTTTGTGCTTTTTGAAGTGCTTTTACTTCAGCAATAATCTGCTGAGTGTTGTCTTTAAAACAAGACTAAACTTAGGTCTTTATTCCAAAGCATACTTGAATTACAACCAAGTTGTAATAGTGCATTAATGTCCATTCTCAGAAAGGGGGGTGACAGACCGTTAACCCTTATGTGGGTCATTCCAGAATTGGAGGACATTTAGGCATCCATAATTTTGAAAAATTGGCCCTTTATTTTACTATTTTTTATTATGTATTTCATAAAAACAGGCAATATACCATTAAATAATTGTATTCGTCCAGCTCAGGTATCAAAGGTACACTTTTTATAATACTATTTTTTATTTATTTTTTGTGCTCGGTGCAACCCTGTTACCAATACTCAGGAACCTGAAAAAAGTATATTTATTGTTTTTTTTTTAAATATAATTTTCTGCCATTAAGTAAAGAAAGTCACAATCCCTCTATATAACTATTTAATTTCAGATATCATTTGATTTAAATTAATTTCAGTAACTTTTGAGTTCCATCTTTGCCAAGTTTTAAACTGTGACATGTTTTATTTGACCGATTTCACTATATATTTTCAAGTATTTGCTCAAATGCACATAATCCTTCAAACTACGGTAAGGACAATAGCTCAAGCCCCTGTGAGCTAAAAAAGTAATTTATGATTATTTTAATGAAAATGATATGGTAACAGGGTTGAAGTTGAAGTAACAGGGTTGCGAAAAGTTACAGGGGTTTGATAGATACATTACTTTTGATTAAAGATTAGGTAAATAATGTTACAAATGCTCAGGAACACAGGAACATTGTTAAATAATATTTAATAACATTTAGTATATTTAAAGAAGTATTTATGCAGAATAGTAGGGAATGGGTCAGGGAAGAACTGTTTAACACTCCACATCCACTGGGTTAAAGGGGGCATGACCATGGCTGTGGCCAATCACAAAAAGCCACTCAACAGATTGTATAAATATTTAATATTTGGATTTAATATTTGGATTTAATTAAATTGTTTTAATCATATTGTTGACAATTGCAAAGAACAAAAAAAATTGCGAAATGTGAGGAAAGTGAGCTAAATAATTAAAATATATCAGCTATAAAATTGTATCTGAGTTTTTACATCTGGCACCCCATTGTAATACATTAATAACATGAAATGTATGCTAAATTATAATCAAAATTATATTAATTATTTAGCTGAACTATTGATCATAGATTGTCCCTTATGAGTGGAGTGAAAGATATTCAACCCTGTTACTCTAATTATGGTAACAGGGTTGCAAATTAATGCTAATGTTAGCTTTTTCTCATGAATAGAAGCTAGCTGTTAAGCTTTAACTGTCATCTTTAGGACAAACTTACTTTAAAAAAAGAAGAAAACCTTCAAATTAATTTGTCTTATTCTGATTATAAGTGTAACAGGGTTGCATTGGTTAGAGTGACACATTCAATCAAGGCTAAAAGATGTATAATAATATGAAAAATCGAACTGCTAGTGATGTCATTCCCAGTGAATCGTGTCATTAACTGTTTTCTTCTTCTTCTGCCAGGCTAAATGTGTTTCGGTAACAGGGTTGCATGTATGTTGTGGGACATAACTTTATTGCAACATTTCTATTATTTGAAATATTTATTTCATTTAAAAAATATATATAGACATATATAAACAAAATCATACAAAAAAAAAGGGATATTTAAAATGTATTTTAACAGTTGTATTTATTGGCCATTGGCCATAAGGTGGGACAAGAGAAAAATGGCACTTAAGTGGGTAATAGAGACTTTTTTTATTTTCATTAATATTTATAAAAAAAATTATTCAAGTCTATTTATGTCTATTCAAGTCTCATGACAAGTGTTTTTTTACACAGTGACTGCATTTTTTTTGTATATTGTACATAGATTATTTGAAATTTCATAGGTGGGACATGAAATGTCCTCCAATTCTGGAATGACCCACGTGCCAAATCAACCGTTTGGTGGAGCATGTTTTAGAAAAATTATTAAAAACATACTTAAGTTTTTTCATGGCACCAAGTAACATAATTTTGTAAAGTAAGGGCTCTTATAGTGTAATATGTAAAAAAAAAAAAAATGCTTAGCTTGCAAAATTTCACCGAAAACAGTTCACATGGCTGGGGTGATTTATTTGTTTCTGACATCCATTAGTGTTGTGACAAGCGCTGTGATTGACACCGTGACATCTAGTGGATTTTTTTTGGCATAACACACCTCAACCAGATGGCTCAATCAGTTAGGTACTCCTCTCAATAAAATAAAGTGACTCAAAATGTGCGCAACCGTTTGGTTGAGAATACAGTTAAAGGGTTTTAAGGGGACATTCTGTTTCATCGTGTTATTATGGCGACGCTACTCTCGAATGTTCTCTGAACGCCCTGAAACATTTAAAAACCGCTAGAGGAACGTCCGAATAAGACGTTTCAGAAAGAAAAAACATCCCATGAAGGATACATGTTCTTGCACTTACGTTTAGAGAACATGATTAAAGACTTTGAAGAGCTTCTATAATCGTTACTGGAGGAACGTTTGCTCATAACTCTGAGAACGTTCCCGTTCCTCACATCAGCCAGGAAGAGGGAAAACACATCGCTGAAACAACACACTCACAGAGAGGTAAAAATGAGGTGACGCTTCACTTTAAGGTGACGTGGTCACACGTCATTCCATGTCAACTCAACCAGAGAGTAATGTTTATAAATCACATTTTTGATTTTTTTCATATTTTTTCTGAAGAAAGACAAACATCAATAGTGATGAAAGCTATTAATATTAAATATCACAGGTGTATATTTACTGAGTAATCTGCTATTTTGTAGAGATTTTCACATGAGATTTGGGGCTAAATTACAGGGGTGAAAAAATGACGTTAGCAGCATCATTATTTTATTATTAAATTTGTAGATCTATTAGTGAAAACTTTATCAATCTTTGTTGCATTATATGCCAACAGTGACTGCTCAAAAATGGCAAAAGCACTTACAATTCATCTTCATACTTAATAATCACGTTGGAAACGCCACCATTTTTTTTTTTGGAATAATAATAATAAATTAAAACAAAGATGTTAGACGATTTTGACGTTGGAGGAGAAAACGGGATAAAATGAGATGGAATGTTTCGCCCTTCCCTGCCTTTTTGAACCGGAGTACACAGATAGATGACGTGACGCGTGACGTTTCCAACGTGATGACGTAATCCCTGGCGCGTCGCAGACCAGCACAAGACGAACAATTGTGGTTAATAAGTAAAAATGTTTATTTTTTTTAGAAAATGGCCGATGGTTTCGCTAGATAAGACCCTGTTCCTCAGCTGGGATCGAGCAGAGCCGTTTGAAGCTCTTCAAAGCCCTTTGAAACTGCATTGATTTGGACTTCAACATGTTGGTTGCAACTGAAGTGTGGAGAAAAATCCTGAAAGGTTTTCCACCAATTTTCTTAAATTTCTTTTCCACTGAAGAAAGAAAGACATGAAGATGTTGGATGGCATTTGGGTGAGTAAATTATCAGGACATTTTCATTTTGAGGTGAACTAATACTTTAAAGCAGCTTCATGTTCAAACTGTTGAATTTTACCCATTTTCAGTGGTCAAGAACCAAATGTAGGAAACATTTCAAACAGCTGATAGTTATTGTGTTTAAAGAAGAATGTTTGAAGAACAAATAACACTGAAACTGGATCTAGTTTCCCTCGATCAGAAGAACTGAACACAGCACACCTCTCAGAGTGCCAAAAACAGACATTTCATGAAGTTTGCATGTCTGTAACTCAAGAAGTGTTAAAGATATCGTAATGGCTTCTTAGATTCTTGTTCTTATGAAACTTTTCTTTTGGGATCTTCATTTTTAAGGCCCTATATAATTCAATCTCACATTGGGATGTCAATGCGGTAACATGATACACTGAGTATGTGAACTCGGCGGCTTCAGAAGCTGGTCAAATGAACAAAATCCCATCTTCAAAATGAGCCATTCTTTTGGTAGAGGGAAACAAGATACATTTCTAGTTTAAACATTATTTGTTCTTCAGATATTTAAAAGAGAAGAATAATCAGCTGTGTGCAAAGTGACCCACATTTGGTTTTTGACCCCTGAAAATGTGTGCAATTGACCGATTTACTGATGGAGCCGCTTGAAGATCTCCATTTCTCTGGGGTTGAACCATCCAGGGCCTTTAAAATGAAGAAACCAAAAGAAAAGTTTGTTAAGAACCAGAATCTAAAAGGATACTAAGATATCATTAATGCTTCTTGAGTTACAGGCATGCAAACTTGAGGCAAAAAACAAATGTTTTTTTCTCATTTTTCAGCGGTCACCGTTGGCATATTTAATGATAAAAATATTGATAAAGTCAACAGATTTCACTAATAGACCAGCCAATATCTGTGGAATAATAAAATAATGATTCTGCCATCTTTCTAAAGTCATTTTACACCACTGTAATCTGGCTCCAAATCTCTGGTGAAAATTGTCATATTTTGGCTTTCGTCACTATTTATGTTCGTCTTTCTTCAGAAAAAATATGAACAAAATCACAAATTTGAGCTGGGAAGTTTCTGAAATCTGGTTGACCCTATAATAACAGTAAATTATGCATAATTAACCAAACCTCTACAGTAAGTACATGTAGTTCATTAATATCACTCAGTACTTATATGAGTACTTAAATCACCTTGAAATAAAGTGCAACCAAAAATGATGATAATAATAATAAAGGATCTGTATAAATGAAATGTTCGGAAGGTTTCCCTCTTGATTAGATTTTAATTATAAGAAGAAGAGTTCAGCAGCAGACTCTAGTTACAGTACACACTCCTCTTTCCTCGCTACGGACGGACTGTGGAAACACACGCCTGTGCAGAACTAACACATCTCTAGCGCGTGTGTGTACTCTTCATGTATCCTCATAAATACAATAAATACACACCATTTGGAGTAGCCTAAACAGAAGCATGTGCCAACTAATGTACAACACAAACTGAAGTTTGAAAATCAATCTCGAGTAGGAAATTAAGAAGAGTCCTCCATCCCAGAAGCAGCATTAGTTGAAGTCCAAGTGTGTGTGTGTGTGTGTGTGTGTGTGTGTGAAACGGGCGAGAGCGTCCAGAGCCCGTGACGACAGACCAGTGTAATTACAGAACTCAACCGTGAGCTTATGTACATATAAATACAGCTTAGAAAAGACAGCGTCGTCATCATCAGTCTGTGTGTGTGTGTGTGTGTGTGGTCCTCTGCTGTGTCCAGCGGGTGGCGCTACAGGACCGGTGTGTGTGGAGCGAGGTCCTGCACCAGAGAGAGCTCAACACACACACACACACACAGGTGTTGATGAACATCAGTCACTCAGCTTTCTTGATGAACATCTGGACAGAGAGAGAGAGAATCTTTTTCTTTTTTTTTTTAATTTTGAAAAAATACTTTATTACAATTTTTCACATGATTTTATTTTTCAACATTTAACATTAACCTTTTATACCACAAAGAACTGCAAAAAAACTTTTTCTACATTAGTAGAAGAGAATTTTTTATTTATTTTTCCATCAATAACAGAGCCTCATTCTTACACCATTTCATTTCAAATGTAATAACATCATCCATGGAACTATAATACCGAAAATCAATGAGTATTCTGGATTTAACTGTGGCTAAAAACAGAATATTAATATCTTGATCTGCATCCAATTCTATCTTGTTTTTTCTACTCATATAGATTGCCAACTTTGCTTGACCTATAAGAAAATTTAAACACTGACAAATAAACCTATTTCTTCTAACGTATTTAAAACCAACAATAAATACGTCTATAGAAAAAGATTAATTAAAACTATAAAATAAATTGTGTAATAAACTAAACCTTTTCAGTCTAAAACAATCCATATAGGCATGAAAAACAGTTTCTCTACTTGAACAAAAAGGGCATTCTGTAGTGACATCAGGATTTAAAACTGAAATAAAAGCATTAACTGCTATTGCACCATGTAAAAGTCTCCATTGCATGTCCCCAACTCTTTTACTTAAAGGCGGCTTATACAATGATCTCCATTCTGGCTTATCATCATCACATAGTTTTAAAACATTACGCCATGGTGTATCAGCCCTCTTATCAAGCACTTTTTATTAAAAGCAAGAACACAAGCTTTATAAAAAGATTTACCAGAACTTGAAAAAAAATTAAGACATAGGGATTTTCCAGAGCTTAAAACATTCCTGAAACATCATCTAACACAGGAGAAATAAAAAACTCAGATAATACATCTTTTTCATTAGGAACACTTTTGGTTTCACAGTAGTCTGATAAAAATGATTTCCATTACACGAGAGTAGATGTTAAAACTTCATGCTGATTTGTACTCTGCTTTCGCCAAGATAAGCACAAACTAAGACGTAGCTTTACAGTAACCTATGCTTCTCCATCCATTTACGCTTCTATCCATATGGTGGTGTGACTCTCCTTCTGTCCGGCGTTAAAGGGATAGTTCGGCCAAAAATGATATTTAACCCATGCATTACTCACCCTCAAGCCGTTCGAGATGCATATGTCAATCTTGTTTCAGACGAACACATTTTCAGTTATTTTAGAAAATGTCTTAGACCCTTCAGTGGATATAATGTGAAGCAATGGGGTCCACCTCCTTCAAGTCCCAAAATGTGCATACATCCTTTACAAAAGTAATCCATCCGGCTCCAGGGGGATAAACGAAGGCCTTCTGAGGGTAATCCGTGCGGTTTTGTCATAAAAATATACATATTTAAAAATTTATAAATGAAAATATCTGACTTCCGGCAACGATCGACGCGCGTTCACGGGTGATGGAAGTGTTTTGTTTTGCTCTGCTCTCTGGCTGCGCTGGCGCGTTCGTTCTACGTCACGACGGTTCCTATTCCTACCCTACGTCCTACCTCGTACGCCGACTTCCATCACCCGTGAACGCGCGTCGATCGTTGCCGGAAGTCAGATATTTTCATTTATAAATTTTTAAATATGTATATTTTTATGACAAAACCGCACGGATTACCCTCAGAAGGCCTCGTTTATCCCCCTGGAGCCGGATGGATTACTTTTGTGAAGGATGTATGCACATTTTGGGACTTGAAGGAGGTGGACCCCATTGCTTCACATTATATCCACTGAAGGGTCTAAGACATTTTCTAAAATAACTGAAAATGTGTTCGTCTGAAACAAGATTGACATATGCATCTCAAACGGCTTGAGGGTGAGTAATGCATGGGTTAAATATCATTTTTGGCCGAACTATCCCTTTAACGGCTGCAGTGTACTTGGCGCGTAAGCACACACGACGGCTGCAACTACAGTGTGGTCTCCCTAGTGGACCAGCACGACAACCGTCTGGATTGAGCCGAGTAGGGGACATCTCTAGGGTCTTCAAGTGGGCACCTTCCGTCCTCAGTGTTTCGTCGACTAGCCCACGACACCTCAAGAGGGCTCGACAGTGACTCTGGCGTCCCAGAGTCACCCCCCTCCATCCCCCACTCAACTCAGCCCAGCTTACTGACCTCTACATCCCTCCTGCTGCTGAGACCTAACCACAATCTCTCCGCAACCCAACCATACGCGCCAACCCGTTTGACTAAGGCTGTTGAGCCCCACTGTCTTCGTTAAAGTAGGTTCAGTGGCAACGGTTCCGTATGGCATACCACCTACCGCAAAACACAATATCTGCCCAACCACCCGTCATTCACGCAATATACACAGGAACGTAATGACTGTAAATACTATACAACCTGAATCCGACGTCTCTGAGGAACCGGGTTGTAGAGTGTGCCACAAATCCTCGACAACCCACTTCCACTGGATAAACCTGGACTCTCCATCCTCGCTGTTCTGCTTCAGTGGCCACATGAGCATACCGCAGTTTCTTCCTCTCATATGCCTCATCTACCGCATCCTCCCATGGCACTGTTAACTCTATCAGTTGAACAATGCGTGCTGATCCAGACCACAAAACAATATCTGGTCGTAGGTTAGTGGTGGCAATCTCAGGTGGAAAAATAAGCCGTTGATCAAGATCAGCCAGCATCTTCCAGTCTCTAGCAGCTTCCAGTTGTCCAACACCTTTTCTTGGTGGTTGCTCGCCTGGGCGGAGGAATATTGTCTTCTGCGTGTAATGTCTTGCTAGAACAGGTGGCAACTTATTGGTCATGTTACGCTTGCCTTCTAATGCTAAAGCCAAACATCGCAGTACTTGGTCATGGCGCCAAGTAAACCGACCTTGGCTAAGAGCCACCTTACATCCTGTCAAAATGTGCCTTAATGTGGCAGGTGATGAACACAAAGGACAAGAGGGATCCTCTCCTACCCAGAGGTTTAGGTTCTGCGGTGATGGGAGAACATCATATGTTGACCTAATAAGGAAACTGATCCTACTCTCTTCCATTGACCAAAGGTCTTGCCAGCCCATCTTGCGTTGTTCCACACTCTCCCATCTCATCCACTCTCCCTGCTTGGCCTGGGAAATGGCCTTTATACACCTCATCCTCTCCTCCTGCTTTCGCACCTCGTTGACTACCAGCTTCCTCCTTTGAGCTAGGCCTGCCTTGTGCCATTTAGGAGGAGCTAAACGGAGCCCAAACCCCCCTCTTCCATGCTGTACCTGTCCCAATTCCCCAATTTGAAGGTCAGCCTTTGCCTCTACTACAGATTTCTTTGCTGACGACTTTCACATTTGTCGTGTGACTCTACTAAGGTCATTTCCACCCTGACCTTGGCACACTTGAACTCCTCGGTTAAAGCAGAGACTGGCAGCTGCAATATTCCTTTACTATAAAGTCCTACTCTGCTGAGGCAGCGCAGAACTCCCAACCATTTCCTGATGTATGAACTTATCAACGCTTCCAGCTTATCCACTGTTGTCAAAGAAACCTCGTACTAGGGATGCTGCGATTACCGGATTTCACAATTAACCGCGCTTTAAAACGTCACGGTTAATTAATCGTAAAGACTATGCTACACCGCGGACGGCACGGAACGGAACTTTTGCACCTAACACAAAACGAAAACAAAGTTACACCAGCGGTGCACCAGCTTAAAGTGCCGTGCTCGTCAACCACTATGGCAGAGGGACTAAGCAGCGACGCTCTATTTCCACCGAAAAAACGCCTTAAGGGCCTGTTCACAGATCGCGTCTTTTGCGCGCTCAAGTTCATTTCAAATGTATGCGCGCTCATAAGGGAAGCGACGCGCTAGTTTTTTCCAAGCGCGTCCGCGCTACATCGAGATCAAAACATCTCAACTTTTCATAATGCCACAAGCGCACCGTAGGTCAAGTGACAAGAACTAACAGAGCAACGACAGACGCCTCCGGAGCGCAACCACCCTAGCGCTTTGGAAAAAGGAGAACGCGGCGCACAACTTTCAGCTTTCAGTGCAACGTAAAAAAAAAACAACAACAAAAAAACAGCGGAAAGTTTTGGTTACGCAAGTCTGTGGAAAACCGAATGTGACGTGCTCTCAAGAGTTTCAGTCAGTGAACATTTAACTTAATATCCTATTGCTTTCTCCTGTCTGTGTTGAGTAAATGTTAGGCTTTGTAGTTGTAATATGCCCGGTGTAAAACACTAACATAAGATCAGGGCCGTGTAGACTTCTAGGACTACCAATTAACTGCATTTCAGTTATTAATAACACCGCATGAGAGATGTTCTCAGTTTCTTTCTATAATTTTTACTCAAACTTTTAACAAACAAACCAAAATAATGAGATTATAATAGGCTAGATGATTTTCTAAAGGCACATGTAAAATTTGGATTAATAATTAAAAAAGAGTATTAAAATAAGTACAATAATTTTGGTGGATAACATTTGGACTATATTTGTTTTCTTTTAAAAGAAATACATAGGCCTACTATTTAGCTTGCATTTAATTCAATAGAGCCAAATACTTTGTTTATTCTTATTTTCATTGGGATTTATTAGTATTATTTGTTTTTATGTCAAATACCAACAAGATATTGTTTTCAAGTTTTGTACCTCAGGTTGAAAATAAATTTAGAACAAACTAAACACTTAATAATTGTGTGATCTATTTCAATCAAAGAGCCCTGCAGCCTTTGACTTAATTTGTTATTTTTAAAAGAAAAATGCTGGATGTTTACAAAGCACTTCTCTTTAATTCCAAAGGAAGAGATTGATTATTGTTTGTCATTTTATAATTTTGTACTGTGTTGTGGCAGCAATAAATAACACATTACAATCTAGTGTTGAGTGTTCATGTGATATTATACATAAGTAGTGTTGTGAAATTAATTGATGCATAATAATCGTGATAATCGTTAAATCGTGATTATTTCTCAGACAATAATCGTACTTACAAAATCTGTAATCGTTGCATCCCTACCTCGTACA